GATTTGTAAAAAAAATTTGCATAAATGAAAGCATCAGTTGTTTGAATTTTACGAAAATAATATTCACCTCATAAAGTTTGAAAAATTAGTTCTGTAATGGAGAATTAGCTTAAATTCATTGCTAATTCATAAATCCGTTAAATGACAAATAAATAAATAAAAATTGGAAATTCAAATTAATTCAATTCAAACGAAATCGAAAAAAATGGAACTTTAAATCATTTGAAATTTTTCCCACATTCTTGGCTAAACTAATTTTACTTCTATTAATTTACTAACCAACTTTTATTATTTTCCCAAAAGTATTCATGCTTTTCTCAGTTATTTTTGATCTTTCGGTTCAATCTAAATGGTTTCTCAGAAATATGAATGCTTATGCATTCCGGCTAATCATAATTTGATAAAAATTTGCATAATGATTAGTGATAAGTGCTCACCATTGTTATTTGAGCTTCCTCCCCTCATCGCCAGCACAATGAGAATTTTATTGACAAAGAGCAGGATAGAAGAATGCAAACATTAACATCAAAATTTGAATTTTTCAAAAATTCAACTTTGTTGTGTTGCTGTGAAGAAAAGGGTTCGAGCCTTTGTATCGAGCTGATGATCTTAGCAACAACTACTCGTTTATCCTGCCCTAGCAAAGTGAATATATTACATTGTAGTCAATAAAGCAAATATGATGCAAATACACACGAGTTTCACGACCACTTTTGGCAGAAAAGCATCATTATCGTTAAAACTTTTTCGAAACTGAAGATTGTTAAATCATCGCATCAAAAAATATTAAAAGACGGCAAGTTCAGCGAAACAGTTGCGAATTATTTCATTTTCAATAGTTATAGTTCCAATTAAGAAAAATAAAAATAAATAAAAAGTTTTTTTATTCTTGCAACTTTGCAAAAATTCTGCTGAAAATTTGATATTTATTACCAAAAATTTTCTGTAGCGTTTCTTGCGAAAAAATTGGAAACATGAAGACAATTTTTAAGAAAGCAATGAAGGAATTTAATTCCAGGAAATAAAATTTCATTAATTTGCGTTTATAGAGCGACGAAATTGGTAAAAAATCTTTGTTAATGCCGTCATGCAACTATAAAATATTAAACGATTCAGAAAAAAGAATTTACCGTTTTATTCAGGTGGTAAAAATTTTATCGAAAATTAAAATCATTTTAGGGGACTGAGAAAAATCGACAGTTGATATTTGTGTAAGAAGATAATATCTCTTCAAGAGTGCATGATTTTCGAATATTAGAAAATTTTTTATTTATATCATGCTTGTTGTATAGAATGCCCTACTTTAATAATTTTATGATCTGATATTTAAAATAGCCAAAATTTATCATAAGTTTCAGACACCATTTTTATTAGAAGGAAATAATATAATCACTTTCACTTAAGGTATTTTGCGACTTGATATTCTCAACTTCCTCGACGACTTCGTATTAAGAGGGATTATGAAAAATTGTTCCTGTTGCTCCTAGAAGCTTAACAGCAGATATTTGATGATATATTTTTTATCGATCATAGTCATAGTGTCTTTTACAAATGGAAGGTGATACTTTAAATAAAATAAGATCTCCATTCCATCTGCAAGAGCCAAATCTCATGCAATTAGGGCAAATTTATGCGCAAAAATTATTCGCAGAACTTTTATTTTTTTCAGCAGCCAATTTCTGGTTCGCCTCACCAGTTTGTCGGACCAGCCAAAATTTACTAAAGGATAATACAGTGATAGAAATAGGCGCAACCTTTTCTTTGGTACATCTTCGTATGTATATAATGTATAATTTTCACTCCATTAGAGAATTTAATTTTACTTTAATTTTGCAACCTTTGCTTTTGTAGTCCATTTTCTTGAAATAATTGAATTTCATTTAAAAGAAGTTTTAATCATTAAATTTTTAAACTTTGAAATTTAATATTTATTTTTCTATTATTTTTCTTGCGAGCTTTTTTTTACTATGTTTCATTTTCAGCAGACATTTCGACATTGAGCAACTGATCTGTGGGCAGAATGAAGCCAAACAGCCAAATGTTTCGTTCGCTCGTAAATTCTAAGAAATCTATAAAAATGGCTATGATAATTATATGAAAGTATATCTGGAAAAAAATTCGTTCTCAGAAACCATAATGCCATAATTTATGAAGACCAGTTTACATATCTTCAACCTGTCCCTCCACAAGAATCTCAATAGAATTGTCAACTGGTTATATAACGAGCAAATTACCCTTTCAGTTACGGATATATAAATTTGAAAGGATCTGATCTTTCTAATTTTTTAATTAATGTCAGATTTGTCTCGAATATTTCAGATCATAGCCAGATGTGGTTGAAAATCTTGATTTCGATCTTCAGTGCAGGGCCATAGTAAAAAACCCTCCCTCAAACCCTCAAGAACACCAAATCTTGTTTTTTCTTAAAATTCTTAAAATTCTTCTTAAAATCTTAAAATTAAAAATCTTAAAATTTTATCTTAAAATCTTAAAATCTTAAAATTTTAAAATTTCTAATCAAACTAAAGCGTTCGTTCGCTTATTTTTGATATAATACAAATTTTTGCACTTGATACCACAAATCAAATAAATTAATTAAAAGTCTCCAGAAATGCTTTTTGCATCGGCTCTTTTCTAAAATAGAAATTATATGCTTCGTTCAATCTTATTAAGTCTGATATATCTATTTATTTATTTACTTATTTATTTATTTATTGAAAACCAGCTAATCAGGGCGCAAACGCCATGTGCTTGTATTAATAACAACAGTTAAAATAACAAATAATAAAGATTAAAGAATAAAAATAAAATTAAAGATGAAATATGTAAGACCTAATAAAGATGAAATTTAACAATTTAAAAATGAAAAGAAGCGGAAATTACAAAATAATATAATATAGTACAATTCGAAATAACCATAATCGGATGGTAAAAATCGAGATTTCACATTTTCTGTACATAATGTGAACTTTTTAAATAATATCATAAATGATATTATCTATTCTTTTTTTAAAGATAGCTAAGGATGGTGCACAAGCTGTATCATTCGGTAATTTATTCCAGTAATTAATATTACGAATAAAGAAATCATGAGCCCTTTGTTTAGTTTTACGCATAGGTTTTAGTGATTTTAGCCCATTAGTTCTTGTTGGATTCAAATTTAACCTAAAATTATAATATTTTGAATAATCTAGTTTGACATAACCATACAGAACCTTATAAGTATATAAATCAAATTTTGTCTGATGCGACGAACTAAGAAAGAATCTAGGAGTATTGTAGAAGTTTTCTTTTATAATTGAAATTGCAATTAGGAGAGAGGTGTATAAAATATTTTTGAAGCCTTTCAATTATTTTACTTGATTTGCGATATCTCGGAGAGTAGTATGTAGTATTGTAATCAAGAAGTGGCCAAATGAACGCTTTGTACATTTTGATAAGAAAATTTTATTCTTGAAGGAACGAAAAATGAAATTTAGTATTTTTGAGGATTTTTTTATCATGGTTCTGCAGTGAACGCCGAAACCGAGATTTTCATCCATGGTTATTCCAAGATCGGAAATATATGAGACTCTACTGATTATATACCACTAATACCATTAATAAAAAAATTATCGAAAAATCGAATTTTTTAGAATTAATATGAAGAACCCTTTTGAAAGAGTAATTTACCTGTCATATTCGCCAGTTATCTAAGCAACTGATACTGTTTTTCCATTGTCAATTGATGCTGTCCAATCGGAAAGATTTGCCAATACTTGTGAAAAAGTAGATTTTTTTGTACAAAAGCCATGCTGAGGATATGAAATTATTGGCATCAAGATAAGTAAGTAATTTGTTGCAAATCAACCTTTCGAGTACCTTGCTAGCAACGCATGTTAGGCTAATAGGTCTGTAATTAGAAGAGTCATAGGTGCTTTTTTTTATGAATTGGAATTATATGAAAAAATTTCCAAATTTTGGGATTAAGGCCAGACTTCCTTATAAATTTATTTAATATCCTTATAAATTAAAAATAGGGGAAGACTCAGAGAGGCTGCATATCTTTTATAAATTATTTGTGGAATATTATCGGGACCAGCTGAAATGGCGGTTTAAGTCTATTTAAGGCATCATAAGCATCCAGTAGCATTATTAATTTTTTAATTTCCTTTTGTTTTCCTTTACTTTGCTAACTTTTGGCCACATTTTTTTCATTTGACACCCATTTGTTGTCTTTACCGCAAATATATGTCGCTTATCGTTCTGCTTGGTTGTTTTCAATAAAATAACTTAAGCTCAATTATTTTATCCTGATCTTAATTCCCTTAACTCTATAAAACCTCGCTAAGCTCTTCAAACTCCCTTATATTATCCTATTATCCTAATCCTAGAACCACCATCATATCTCTTGATAAATCCCTCCTATAATTCTATTATAATCTTTCAAATCTCCAAATTCTCCTTAATTTGTTTCTTGATAACAACACTTATCAATATCCTGAACTAAATTAGAGCTTACTGTTTTTTGCCAAATGTATCTTTATGCATTTGTATTACAACTCACTAATTCTTTCATTAAGCTGCTTGCGAAATTTCAGTCCATGTCCAGTTATTTTCTATTCATAGTTCACAACACCATCTTGAATTCCTTTAGACAAAGTTTATCCTACTAACACTATTTATTTTCCATTATTTTTCCTTAATCTTTATTTTGGCCACGTTCGCTGCATATTGAAAAGAACGTAATTGAAAGGAACTGATTTTATCAAGATTTGATGAGTGTGATGAAATGAAGACAAGGATCGGTTTTAAATGAAAATTATGGATTTTATTAAGACAACGGGATGCCAGGATATGATAAATTTCTCCATCGTTAAAATGAGCGATAATATAGAATGATATAAAAGAAAAATTTATTCTTGCTTATCATTCATTCCATCATTTTCTTTTTTAGTATAAATCGCTTTTTTTAAATTCACTGATAAAATTTTTCGATCTATCGTTAAATATATAAAATATCAATTAGGAAGAAATTTCACTGAACCGATAAGAATTTTTTCACTTTTTTGCAAAAATCTATCCGAAGTTCGAATATTGTTCACTGGCATTGGGTAAACAATTTGATCAGCAACTATTCCACAGATTGGTGTCATTAATGCAAATGTCTTCAATGATGGAAAGGTAAAGCTTGCAAAAGGACGGAAATCATTGAAATTTGCTTCAGTCTTGCTTTCATATCCTCTGCCTAATGCATTCCAGTACCTAAAAATCTAAAACTTAATAAATGATTAATAAATACTAAATGATTAATAAATGAGATGGGAGATCGATAAGTCACGAAAAATTTTTTCTTTTGTGGGGTTATATTTTTAAAAAATACAATTACAGTCAAGGGCATAAAGTTTTAAGGAAAGCATAAAATTTTCATAAAGCATAATAAAAAAGATATCGAAATTATACCATAAAAGAGGCCAAAATGACCTGGCGCCCGTGATTTCCAACCAATCGTACCAATTAGTAAACACGCCAACTTGTATTCTATATTGCTGAAAAAACTTCCACTATATGAATCAAGAATGTGTTGCGAAAGCCAACTATCATATTACTTTTAATTTTCCCACCAAATACTACTAAAACAAAAATCTATCGAAAGAAACAAAAGAAACAAAAAAGAAAAAAAAAGAAAAACTTGTTCTCAATACTTACTGCAGCTCTGCGGACGAATTCTTCAATAAAAAGGGTGTTAGCTTGCTGGTTATTTGGCCAATGAATGGGTGATGTTACCTAAATTTGAAAAAAATTCAAAAATTTGATAAATTTTTCGATTTTTACGACCAATGATAGTTCCAATAAAATAAGCAGATATATAATCATAGAGAGGCTCTCTGGTAAATTTAAAGCAAACTGCATTCAAGTTGGGGAAAAAAAGGTGAATTTAATAATGGCCACCTTTCACACATAAAATATCTTCGCTTAATGTAGTCTCTCTGATTGAACAGGTTGATAAAAATAAAATTAATTACCTTCAGCCACATTCTATTTAAAGAAATCCGGTCTTGTTGTATGCTCATGTAAATTTCATCGACTTGTTTGTATGCATTCTTACTTCCATTAACATTTGGGATAGCATATATCTCAGTTCCAAGACCGGCTTCAAATGAATAATAATCATATATCAAGGTTATTGATTACAATTACTGCTTTGAAATTGACCTTTTAGCAAATGAATTAGCTTTGCAATACCAATTTTTTCATCATATAACCTAATTAAATCATTTATATAACGGTATTCGTTGATGTGAAACGCGTTAATTTTCTTCTAACAGCTTTCACCATTACTACTTAGGCTGACTTAGCTGGCTATAAGGATAAGGACTCACGCCAGCATCGCAAGTAATAGAAGCCATTTCCATTCCCAACTTCTAAGTTCATGTATTGCTGGTCCACCTATACGTTCAAAACACCGGATCAGTCCAGGTCTTGTTTGGTTCATCTTTCTTTTGATGCCACCCAACATAGAGTTTAGCAAGGTATGAAATATGTGTCAAATCTTGTAGTCGGCGACAAAGAACGTGCCTTAACCACCGACGACACTCTGTGATGGTGCTGTTAATGCAAATGGTATTGATCAAAGGTAGATGAGAGATTTTATCTCGATTTTATCAATTATGAGAGATTTTATCTCGACCAACTCATAAGATGTATTTTAGACATAAGTGGTCAAAGGCGAATAGCTTCTCAATATCCTCCATTGTCATTGACCATGTCTCGGAGCCATACAGTAAGATCGAGTGATTCACAGCTATATAAAGGCGGTCTTTCGTTTTCGTTTTCACAATGGTTTCGCGACGAGTCCATAAAGGTTTCATCAACCGGATGAAAATATTTCTAGCTATCACCATCCGAGTTGTAATTTCATCTTTCGCTTGGCCATTTGGGATTAGATCCGAGATATTTAAAGTTTGGCCCTCCCTCAACCAACATTGAACTGATAAAAATAACTTCTGGTATGAATGAAGAAAAGTCTTTTGTCTTATTTATATCAACCCTGAATATGCATTTGTTGGCATGTTTTTAACATTATTTGCATCTCATCATAACTGTCAGCAAAAAGAACTACATCATCAACGTATTCAAGAACTGTGATGCTCTGGACTTATTTGCATACCTCTTGAATGCCGACAAGCGATATCCATGATCCAGTCTATCGCATAGTCAAATGTTGTGGGGGAAAGGACGCAGCCCTGACTGAGACCATTTCTTATTTCGAAAGAATCAGTTCCCCATATACATAGACCTGATGTAAACTGATAAAATGCTTTTATGAGCCGAATATTCTTCTCTGGAATACTGCATAACCATCCAAAGCTCTGATCTATCAACTGCGAAGGCAGATACAAAATTGATGAAATACAATTAAAAATTTATAAGTTATAATTTATAATTCTAGAGAATTCACAGACGACAAATATTTTTCTAACCTTCATGCGCATTATATATATTTTGAGTATAATTTGAATCCACCATTCCTTCATTCTTTGGTATATAAGCACGTATAAAAACTGACGAATATTTTTCACTTTTTATGCAATTATATGCAGATAGGGCAACTTTTTGACTAATATCCAAACCAAAAGCGAAGCCATAATATTTCTGAAATTTAAGCAAATAATCAGTGGTTAGTATTCAGTTTTTTTGGTTAGGCTCCACTGATTAGTAGACTGAGGATGAGTGAAGCGATAGCTCACTATAATAATGAACAAGCGAGTTCAGAAATACCTCTTAATACCAAAATCAAGTACCTCTACGCACTTTTGGACTTGGAGAAATCTCTAAGCCAAGCAGCTTAACCTAAGTTATAGGAAATTTGAGGCTTTCATGTTCATACATAATTTGCATTAACGTAATAAATTCTTTGAAATTTTAACTTGATTTTAGATTTTTTAACTTCATATTTTAAATAAATTATTATATAATTTACCCTTTCATATTTCTTGGTTAACATCAAATTTTCATTTGTTACATTTGCATTTACAGTAAAAAAACATAAAATAATTACAAAAAATGCGAAATGAACCAATTCGCTGCTCATCACTGAAATAACAACATAAAAGAAATAGTTAAAACAGTTAGATCATGGAATAAATTTATAAAATAATACTAAAATGAAAATTTATCAGTTTACAGTCAGTTTATAATCATTCCGAATCTCAGCCAATTACGACCAATAGCTGGTATTTTCAATATAATATTATGGAATAACCAAATAATCCAAAGCGATAACAAACTGAGACCAATGCAAAAAAAACAACCAGAAAAGAAAGTTGTTTTATAACGAACAATATGCTTCTGCTTCTCGTCCCCTTTAAAAAGACAAGTGAAAGGTAGCAAAAAAATGCTTATCAATAATTACTCATCAGCTTTGACGATGATTAATAATTTAAAATAAGTGATATACAACATTATTCATCCTAAAATGTTGTCTTTTTTCAATTGATTTCATTTTATTTTTGAAATGGTTTTAATTGAAGTTAAAGGTTAAAAAAATAATATCATAACAGTAAATAAGTGGTTAGCCTTTCTTATTCTACCCCCACCATGGTAGTGTCGGCTACCTAGTCTCGTCATAACATTCATTAAATTAATTATGCCAAAACTGACAAAGATAAAAATTTAAAAATTCGACTTTTCTTCACTTCCCATTTTTATTAAAGTATTAAAATGCAAAGGGAATCAACCAAATTCTTTATATCAATAATAAAAAATCATGTTTTCAGTTACAGTTTTAGATTATAATTAACCTTCGCAAAATTCACAAATGTTTTTTCGTCAATTTTAATTTCAAAAAAACAAGAATTCATTTAAATGATTTATTTATCTAAAATAGAATAAAAAAACTATTTAGTAATCGGTTTTACTTGAAATTTTTACTTGTTCTTTAGATTCTTAGCACCATCAATACCCTTTCAATTATGGCAAATATGAATTAAAAAATTTGGGCGAAATATTATTTATTTCTAGCGAGTCATTACCAAATATCTTGGGAGCGCTCAAAATTTCAAAAGCCAAAATCTAGAAAAACAAAATAATCACGAATAAGAAAAAAAATATAAAAATTTCATATGTTCTATATTACTTTTATGACAAGAAAAACTTCAGAAACTTCAGAAATGCCTGAAATTCTTTGATATAGTTTTTCCTTGTTTCGAAATTTGAGACTCTTATTGTGGAAAAAAATATTTTTCAGATTTGCTTTATGAAGTATGACGATTTCTCCATATCTTATAATATATATTTTTAATTTATTGATTAAAATAAACTCCAAATATTTTTGAGGTTATTCTTGCCATAAAAGAAGGTTCAACATATTTGTCTGAGGTTTTCTCTCGAGATTTTTGATCTCTCGAGGTTTTGGTCTGAATGTTTTGAATTTTCGATATTTTGAGATAATATCATATCATCAATAACTTGTGGAGCGAGCCCACAACTTCTCATTCTTCGCTTGTGACACCAACAATCACATTTTACTTACATTCTGAAGATTTTGTTTGCCTATAAGTGAAAATGAACCTCTGCATTTTCTGTTGCATTTTTTAGATCTTAGCACTATTGGAAAAAAACTGGAGGAATGAAAAATTATTCGACTTGCTTTGTTTTCTTGAAATTTAAGATCTTTAATATTTTGATGCTTCTTCAATTTCTTTTTATATTGTAAAGAAATGGACATAATGTCACATAAAATAAAATAATAGTTTTATTCAATGAAAACCATCAAAAAAAAAAAATTGGCGAATGAAGAACGTTTAAAAGAACCATAAATGCAGTATTATAAGTATTATAAGCATTTTTAAAGATAATAATAATAATAAACATAGTAGTTCAAAGCTCTAAATATGTAAAAATAATAAATAAATAAATAATACTAAATAGACAGCAGATAGAAATTAGGATATGTGAATAACTAAATGATAATTGGTTGCTGTATCAATCCTTATTCCCTACTGAATTCGATCTGAAGAGAATGGTCTGTGTTTCATGCAAAGGTAGCGTTTCTGTGGAAATAAAATCGCTTATTTCGTTAGCTTATTTAATTGTAGTGGCTTTAATAAAAGTGAAATGAGCAAATAAAAAATTAAAAAAAAAAATTAAGAAATTAAAAAAATTGCTAATTGAACGAGGAGCATATCTACAAAGTAATGAAGAAAGAACGAAGTAATACATGACGCAAGCGAACTTCCAAACTGATTATTCATTATGAGAAATTAGAACAATTTCACGATCGTTGAACACGTTTAGTAGGGCGCAGTAGGCATAGATCGTTCCAGAGGTGTGGTTGGTACTAACATTGCTTCGAAATTCCATTTTAAATGCGCTCACTATCCCCAACTCCTTTCAGCTCTAGGTGATCTAAAGATTTTAGAGTTCATATGCATCACGATTCCAGCCACAAGATGGCCCAATCAATAGAAACAAATTCTAGAGTTCAAATTCTATAATAAGAACACATAAAAAAATTTTTTTTATTTTATTTTTTTAATCCTTATAATCTCTTTGCTTGTGTGGAGTAAATCTGTCATTAAAATCAAGTTGAGTGGCTGCTGGGAATCCACGTGCATCACTGTCCAAACGACTTATTACGACTCGCTTTTTTTTCAACCCAGTGGTTATGCGACAAATATGCAAACTGTGCTTGGATATAGCGATATTAAAAACGACTCTGTAAATTTTCGAGGAAACTGAAAATTGCTCTATATCACCAAAGGAAGGAGGACAAAGGTGCGCAAAGTCTTGGCTTCGTGAAGCTTCAGAATGTTTATGCCTGTTGGGAGCTAGGTGATAATCATACACATCCTATCTCAATGTGAATATCATTTGTCTGTAAGAAGCACACCTTCCTAATTCTAGGTTCAGAGTTTATTATATCTGGTTCAAAATAGAAACGGTCCAAACAGAATCAACTTTAATCGTATGGAAGTGGATTACGTCCTCTGTAAAGATACGTTTTACAAAAGTTGTCAACTGTTTAAGCTCCGACGCTTTGAGTGGATGATCTGGATAAGAAGATTCTGTACCGAGCTGAACTTGCTAACAGCATTTTTCCCGAAAAATAACATTAGAGATTCGAATGCGCATATGACATGAGGATACTATCTTCTGCGTTTGGCATGTGGTGTTCGATTCCAAAGTCTTCTTCAGCATGCTGAGGACCACGGTCTTTTTGCCAGCAGAGCGTGCTTTCAGCATTTAGATGATATCTAGTTATATAAAACTAGCCAGACAATCAACACTTGAATCAGATTGATTACATTTTGGTTAATCGCATCTGAAAAAATTCTACACTAGATAGCTCCATATCGCAAGATCGAAGTTGAGAATCTTTATGGATCTACCTATGCTATGGTAAAAGATAAGATCTGAATGAAATTGACAGCATGACAGCGCAAAAAATACAGAGTTCACCAAAATCTTTTAATTATTTTAAATCAAGAAATTCACAAGTAGTCAGCAAGCCAAGGTACTGAAGCAATGAAAGGATTTTTTATGGAAGCGGAATTGCGGAGGATCACTCGTCTCATGGATGGATCACTCTTGAAGTTTGACTCAGACTCAGTTAAATCCACTCTAAGATATATGATTCGGAAGAAAGCAAGGTGGATCTCTGGTCTCGTTATTCCAGCTGCTAGAGTACGCGTGTCAAGAAATGTTATTGGCAGCCTCGTATACTCGCAATAATCATGGAGAAACGGAAAAGAGCCGATATATGCTGGAACGCTTTGGGTATGGAAGCACAGTTCTAGTAAACGATCATTGAAAATTCCGCTTCTTCTCATGAAGCTCGAGAAATGGTTAGTAAAATCTTCAAAAATGTGAGATTATATTTGCTTATATTTATATTTACTTATGTTTAATTATTTGCTTATATTTAATTTATATTAAAATATTGGATGTAGTTGAATTCCATACTGATAATCAGAGAAATTTGAATATTTTTATAATTTTTAGGCCTGCTCATTTAGTCATGTGGCTTGCACCGTAGCGATTACCATTTCGATTACCATTTTTTTAAAATTAAATATAAGTATTAAAAGTATTTTGAAATTAAGTTTTGTTAATTTTTACTTAATTTTTAAAATGTTTGAACCTTTTGTATTTTTTAGATTTAAGTTTTGAAGATGATCCGAGATGAGGAAATCCGGTTAAGGCTACCAAAGATTATCTCATCCGATGCAGAGAGTTTTTGAATCTAAACTAATTATCCATCCAACATCTCGCACATGACATTTAGAGGCGTATGATTGCAATTATGAATTACCAGCCGAGCATATCTCTTGATTTCTTACATCTTATTAAGATAAATTTTTTTTACAACTCACAAATTTTAGTTCAATAAAGTTCTTCGAGATATTTTGCGAACTGAATTTTCAAATGCTATCTGCCATTATTCTACCATTCTTACAACATACCTGTATAAGTTATATTCACTGGAATGCAAAAAGGAACACCATATGGCTGGTGCTTTCAATCCAAAAAATATAATAGGACACAATGCGACAATTATCTAGAAATCGGTGGTCTTGCTAGATATTTTTGGGGAAATTTTTGTTTCCATTCTACTGAATACACTCGCGATATAGCCTGAAAGCAGAACGCATTCCATTCAAACTGGATTTAGGCCAGCACGTGGCTGTCCTGACCAAATTTTTATCCGAGAAGAATATTGGAGCAAATTGAAATAGGATAAAATTTCGATAAACTGCAGTTTCACCGTATCTGTTGCTTGCTTCAGTTCGACCAACAGGGCGTTAAGTCATCAAACATTGAACTTATCAAAGCATTTTATCGACATAGGGAGTAAAAGTATATGTGTTGTAGGAATTAATACAACAGTTTAAATAAGTACCTAGGTGACTGCATTCTTTCCTCTGTATTCAATGTCCAATAAATTGGGTTTGAATTTCAATCTAAATTTCATCAATTTTTTTTTGAAAGTAAAACCGCGAAACCAATTTGTAACCAATATGATAAATAAAACGTGTTCGCAAGCCAGGGTAATTGCTTGAAACCTATCAAAGTGAACAGCAAGCGCGGCGAATTATTAGCCATAGTCTGGAATATCAGAACGCTTATGGACGTTGCAAGCCAAACGATGTCTAAATATAACACCCTTTCTCAATAATATCGTGTGGATATCGCTTGCCGGTCGGAGGTCCGTCTTCCACTTCGGGTCTCGAGTAATATACTGGCTATATCACTGTGATGCTTCGAATAACGGGACAAAGATGCTTCGAATAACGGGACAAAAT